TGTAGATAAATCTTCTTTCAAGCTACTATAAAAGATGCATATATTCAGCAGCAGTTTAACCTTACCTTGGCAACACTGAGTCCAATGGGGGATGGCCTGTGTGGAGATCTTGTTGCAAAGAGTCCCTTCCTTTCACCGTTTAGTGTTGGCACTCTTACCTATCCATCCAGTCAACCTTTATATAGAGTTAAAAAGAATAATTAATAACTGAAATCACAGAAAGCAGTATACCAGTATTCAGAGGCACACACCTTGGCCTTGAACTTTGACTTAGTTGGATCTTTCCAAAGCTTCTCTAGATTTGTATTTTGATGGAAAACATATATAACCCAGCAGTGAGAATATTCTCCAAGACCCTCAAGTGATGCTGGAGGAACACGAGCTGTATTAAAGATCAAACAGGCCCTTGAGAGAGGCACAAGTACAGGTTGCCTGGGCGTCCCATTCCTGCACAATTAAGAAGAGAAAGTCATCAACGGGACTTCAAAGAAACAAATTTGCATGCAAAACAAATATGCAAATTTTATCTTGGCGAGATCAAACATGCACTTTTTGAATTCCTTTTATATTAACAAAGGAAGAAACAAATCTCAGGGAATCGGAGATGACACTGGTAAACTCAGGAGAACTAAAACCCTGCAAAACTAAGCATGCACAAGCATGAGGTGCAACTGCAAAATAAAGGTTGCCTAGTATGCTATTCATGCACCAATATAAACTGCATGTTTGGGTATAGGAGTGCGGCATATCACTCTAACTCTATGATAAAACTCAGCTTCAATATTTAATTTATCTATACGATTCCTTTTTCTTTGGCAAATGACAGGAATACATCCCACATACCCACTGGGGATTGAACCCCTGAACTCAACCTCAACCCTTATTGTCTAGAGGGAGAAAGGTGCCACTAAACCCAAAGACTATTGGCTATCAATATGAATGTTTAAAAAAAATTTATGAGAAGACAATCTAACTTTTCTAAGCACTATTGACAGTTTTCACCATAATTTGATTTTGCTACACATAGAAACATGTACAACAGCATGAATGGCAGAGCATTTGCAAAAATTCTACAAAACTCAAAAGAAAATATAAATGATTCCAATTAACTCATTTCTCGATTTGGAAAGTAATATTCTTTGGATATCTTTATCCAGTCAGTCAGTCTG